TGTATTTTCACCACAAAAAAACACGTAAGGTTATACGTATATTAAATGGCTTGATTTAGCCTTCCTACAATGTATACATATAGCAAAACATCATGTCATACACCATAAATATATGAAATTTTTACATTTCAGTTAAAAAAACAGGGCTGGTCACTTAGCTCAGTTGGTTAGAGCATGGTGTTGATAACCCCAAAGTCAACAGTTCAGATTCCCATACCAGCCAGCTGCCAAAAAAAACACAAAGAAACCCCCCAAAAAACCCCCCAAAGCTAAGCTTTTAGCTCCAGATCCCACATTTCCTCTATGTGAGTCAATTAATTTCTGTCTGATTTTTTCTTTAAAAACAGTAATAATATCAATGTTGTCTAACACTAATTTATTTCTTAAATGATCAACTGAGATGGTTGTAAAAAAAACTGTCTGAAATAAACATATTTTAAAGACCTAGCTTTTTATGAATGCTTAACACTCAGTGCTATGGGTCAAATGTATCCCCCAAAGGTTCATGTATTGGAAATTCAATCTCCATTATAACAGTGTTAAGAGGGTTGGAATACAGTTAAATTTAAAAGGTGAGGCTTTTAAGAGGTGATTAGATTGTGAGGACTATGCCCTGGTGAACGGACTGATCCATTCATGGAGTAATGGGTGCGGTTCTGATGGCTTCATAAGGAGAGTGAGTGAGCAGCTCAGCTCCTTCTTGCTCAGCCCACTCTTGCCATACAACACCCTGGTTGCCAGAGGACCCTGTAAAGTTCCCACCTGGAAGAAGGCTTTCACCATGTGTATTCCCTGAACCTTGGACTTTCCAGCCTCCAAAACTGTAAGAAATAAATTTCATTTCTTTATGAATTACCAAGTTTCAGGTATTCCATTATAAGCAACAGAAAGAGACTAATACGCACAGCTAAGCAACTTATGTGGATCATTTCATTTACTCCTCACAAAAACCCTACGAGTAAGGTACTCCTAACAGCACATCTTACTACACAAGAGAGTGGGGCTGATCAAGGTGAGTCCCCTGCCCACGATCACTCAGGGGGTATTTGAGCCCAGACCCCGTGACTCCCACCCAGGTGCATGTCCTTCACCAGCACATTTTACTGTCCCTGAATTTTAAAACATCAGACATATAGAAAGTATAAAGAATGAAAAAAAACCAAACACCTGTGTACCTTCCACCAGCTTAAGAAATAACACATTTCCAATACCCTCGGCAAGGAAACAAAACATTTTCAGTATCCTCCACTAAGCACTGGAAAGGATGTGCAACTACATGAATTCTCAAACACTGTTGGGGGAGTGTAGATTGGTGCAACTACTTTGGAAACCATTGGTGTGATGCGGTAATATTACAAATTGTGCATTCCCTATGACCCTGGGATTCCAATCCAAGGACATGCACGGTCATTCCTGGGAGCACTGTCCATAACAGCAAAAGGCCTTCACAAATGTCCATTCCAGAGAATGGAATTTTCAGGAACCTACAAGGCTTTAGACATCAGTAGGGACCTGAAGTGCACTTTTCCTTTCTCTCTCCCCTCTGTTCACACCTGGGACCTGGGATGGGTGGTGGAGTCAATCTGTCTGGGGCCCAGCTCTCAGTGGTGATGCAGCTCTCAGTGGTGATGGTACCGACTCCTCTATGTCAATTCCTTCCCTCCCACTCGCCCTGTTCACAACACAGGCTCCAGCTTCATAGAACCATTTGGCAGATTCACCTCTCCTAGCGCTCCTTGAGTACTGACTGCAGGAAAAGCACCGTGCTAGGTACCGTGGGTAAACAAAGAACTAAGAAGTCAGAGCCACATGCTTGAGGTAGATGGAGGAAGACAGACAGGCACATGAGGGACTGGCACAAAGCAGAGTGGGAGGAACACAATTATGAAACATATCATTACAGAAGGGAAGGGGCAATCAATTCTGATAAAAATGAGACAAGTGGAGCTCCAAAGAGTTTGGGTGGATTAGATGACTCCAGAGGCCTTCTGTTGCAGCAGGAAGAGCTGCCCTTTTATCCTGCCATCAGGTATTTGGATAACTTAACTTTCAAGCTCACAGCCCTAAGATCCTTCCTACCCCCACCAACAGCACCAAGAATAACTGCAGAGAAATGCTGGCTCGCCCTAGTCCAGTGACACAGAGAAGAAAGTCACTATTGTCTAGAAGCCACAGATTCAGCAGGCTCAGGGATGTGTCCACCAGGAATCAAATCCTACCTCTAGTCCCTAGCTATGGGACCTGGGGCAAGCTCATGAGCCTCTCTGAGCTGTGGTTTCCTCCCTTGGACTATCAGAATCACTATCATAATGGGAGAACCAATAGTATCAACCTTAAGAGAGTTACTGAGAGGATTAAATGCAACAATATATGCACAGCTTAGCATAGTGCTTGATAGGATGCAACACTGTAACTAAAAGACAAATAACAATCGTCAGTAAGCTAGGCCTTTGCATCTCCAACTTCCCTACGTTTATTGGTTTACAAATCGGTCTCCCCTGCTCAACTCCTTGAGGAAAGTAGTTGTCTTACTCCTCTTTCTGTCCCCAGCACCCATCGCCAGGCTTTGCATGTACTATACATGCTCATAAAGGTTTGGAGAGAGAATATATGTAGTAAAGGGTATTTCATTTACAAAGGAGAAGAGTTTCTCAGGTTAACCATAGGAATTAGGCAGCCATAACTGTCTGGTTTTCAAACAGGCTATGATAGAAAGCCATCAAGGGGTGAATCTGGCAGAGGAAGTTCATAAATTCCGCTCAGACTGCAACAGACTACCTCCTTTCACTCCCATGCTCATTGCTTTCTTCCCCCACAAGTCAGGCAATAACCTATATTTTTCTCTCCCAGATCTAATAAGCTTGAATTTTAAACTGTCAGTCTTATAATTTCCCATTTTCCTCTATCTTCTGTAATTTAGGCCTTGACCCTGATTTTAATTAAAGACCAGCGCATTAGCTGTCCCAGCAAGCTGATCAGAATCACATGCACTTAGAAAGGGTGTGTCTTGCTACAGCAATAGCTATGCTAATTGTCAGGTTAGGGCCATTGTTAGAATCCTGCAGAAGTAGCCAATTGCATGACTAGGCAATTCATAACTAAAGCCAAAATGTTTCATTATTTTAGTTACACTGTTTCCCATTTGTATTTTCTGGGCTAGGGGTTAGGGCCCACAGACCACTCTAACCTGTTGTACAAACTGGGTCGCAGACCTCTCACATGCCAGGCTCGGTCACCAGATCCTTCACATGCAGGTCCACACTAGGTAATTAGGAAAGATCCTGAGAGCCATTGGCAGACGACAGGAGCTCAGTCCTCAGGCCTCCCCGTGGCCCCCCCAGGGGCATCCCAGGAGGCGGAGGGGCCCTGTCAGAGCCACTCGTCCCTTGTACTCGTCCCTGATAACCCAGGACACGTGGGTGCACATACTCAATTACATTAGACAACCAAGGAACACCTGGGCACACATGTATATTTATATTAAATGTTTGGCAAGATTCTGAACATCTGAGGGAGCCCTGACCATTTTCCTATATTTTCCCTACAGGGTGTATCGGGAGCTACTTGGGGAACATGAGCCACTGAAGGCAAGGTTGTTAGTTCCAGCTCTAATGTGACCAGAACTTTGAATGCCAGGGAAGAAGCCTGTTATGGGCTGTACTGTGTCCCCAACCCCAAATTCATACGTTGAAGTCCTAACCTCCAGCACCTCAGAATGTGACTGTATTTGGAAACAGCGTCTTTAAAAAGGTAATGAACTTGGGCCGGCCTGTGGCTCACTCGGGAGAGTGCGGTGCTGATAACACCAAGGCCACGGGTTCAGATCCCATATAGGGATGGCCGGTTAGCTCGCTTGGGAGATCATGGTGCTGACAACACCAAGTCAAGGGTTAAGATCCCCTTACTGGTCATCTTTAAAAAAAAAAAAGGTAATGAACTTAAAATAAGGTCATTGGGGTGGGCCCCAACCCAGTATGACTGCTGTCCTTATAAGAAGAGATTATAACAGACACACACACACAGGAAAGGTCATGCAAAGACACAGAGAGAAAACAGCCATCCCATAGGCCACCGAGAGAGGACCCAGAAAAAAACAAAAATTATCAGAGGCCACTGTTTTGGAGTAAGTTCCTGCACCAGGCCCCAACGGACCAGACTAAAAACCAAACAGAGTCACCCCTGCTAAGTTCCACTACCACTTAGGCTGTGGTCTGACCATTCGAGAAGTCAGGAGAAAGAACAACCAATTTCCCAAACAGGCTAGCTTAAATCTTCAGTAGGCATGATAATGAAGTTCCCTCTGCTTTAATCCTTATGTAAAAAAGATAGCCTGAAATAACCAATGTTAATCAGTTACTTTTTCTCTGTTCTGTCATCTCTGGTCCCCACCTTACAAGGAAAGTAGCTTTGAAATGACCAATCCACTTTTTGTTCTTTGTTTCTGCTTTCTTCAGCCTTTTCTGTTTATAAATCCTTCGTTATTTGTAATACACTTTGGAGCACATCTTTGTATCAGATGGTGTTTCCCGGATCCATCCTCACATTTGGCTCCCAGTAAACTTTACAGAATTATTTCTGCCTCAACAGCCTTAACTTCAGTCAGCAAACCAACCCTGCCAACACCTTGATGTCAGATTTGGAGCCTCCAGAATTGTAAGAAAATAAATTTCTGGGGCTGGGCGGTTAATTCAACTGTTTACTGTGAGGTGCTGAAAACACCAAGGTGAAGGGATCAGAACCCCATACTGGCCAGCCACCAGAAAAAGGAAATAAATTTCTGTTTAAGCCACCCAGTCTGTGGCACTTTGTTACGGCAGCCCTAGCAAACTAATACAAAGCCCATTTTGAGAGTCAGGAAAACCAAAACCAACCAAAAAATTGGTAGTAGAAAGGAACCAGGGAACAGGGAAGTACCTTTCCCACTTCCAAGTCCCAAGCGATGCTCAGCTGACCACAACTTGCAGAATGAACCACATGTACTTTTCACCCCCAAGTCTTACCACATTTTCTGGCAGCTTGTGTCCAGGGAGATATTTTACATTTTCATGGTCATTATTTATGATATCTGTCAGTTTTCTCCCATTTACTGTTTCTTCAAAGACCCACATCTTGACTGTGGAGGCAAACTTCTGAAGTTTCTTGACATTACTGCCAATTATTTTTGCAATAGCTGAACCCCTACAAAAGAAACCATGAAAAAGAAAAAAAATTAAACTCACTCAGGCAGGAGAGAAAAAACATTCAATTAAAATTCAGAAGGCTTGCGTTCTGATTCTAATTTAAGCATTGAGCTTACTCAAGATGTGATGTGTATCAGCCTCAAGCCATTTGAAACTTAGTGGTTTTCACCTGTAAATATGACCCCCTGTGATCAGGAAAGCAGAACTGCACAAGAATTGGGTACAAGGTCAAAAAGCACCACCCCTTGAAAATAGTAAGAATCAACCTATCTTGGAAGAAAGTGTCACAGGGAGAAAAGAAATCTACCTACAAAGCCTGAAAATGAAGCCTCCAAGGAAAATAGGCTATATTTCAAATACAATAAGGAATATTTCAAATGTAGCTACTGTAAAATAAACTGTGTTCTGATAAACTGCACCAGGCCAAGGGACAGAAAAAGACAAGAACCTGGGTGGACTGTGGACACAGCAATGGAAGGAGGCAGGGCCCAGGGCCCTGTGGAGTCTGCACCTCTTCCTCCCCACCACCAAGCAGGCATCCAGTGGCTCTAGCCCCCAAACTCCCTTTTTTCTGCATCTCCATTCAGCAAACATGTTCTTGTAAAGGATCAGTCTCCCACAGGCTTTCCTACACGGGATAGAATGAACCCTGACTAGTTAGTGTCAGTCCTCCGGACAGCCAGGCAGGTCTGCAGATCATCGCTGCAGCAGAGGTGGTTGGCCCAGGCACCTGTGCTCATCTTGGTTATTCTAACACAACTCTAATTCATCCCAGCATATAAACCTTTCTGCTTTAACAACCAAGAAAATTCAAACAATTCCAACACTGATTATAATTATTTTCCCTTTCCTGAAATAGAATGGATAAATTAAACCAGTGGTTTTCAACTTTGGCTGCACACTAAAATTACTCAGGAGATTTAAAAATCCTGAGTCCCAGGCCACACTGGAGACCAATGAAATCAGCATCCTAGAGTGGATCAGGCCCCTGTAGTTTTTCAAGCTCCCCAGTGATTCAGTGCACAGCCAGGGCTGAGAAGCGCTGCTCTGCACAATGATCTAGAACTGTGATGCCCTTGTCCCTCACAACAGAATAGCTGAAAATATCAAGGCTATGCAGCTGTCCCTGTGAAATTCTTATTCTATGCCAGCAGGACAGCTTAATAGATAAATACCCATTAATCCAATTCTCCTCCTGACACATTGTAGAAAGGAGGCCAGGAATTCCCTATCACCTTTATTCTAATCTTGGAAACAGCTGCTCACATCCTCATAGGGAGAGAGCAGTTCCAGCTCACAGTGTTCCCTGGAGTAAAGAAACTTTTACACAAGTTCAAATAGAGCAAATGTGATTCTGGGGGACTGAGCATCAATTAATGGGGGTCTGCAAGACACTAGGAAAACAAGTTTAGTAAATCAAGTGGAAAAATAAGAACCAAGACAACCCCTTTCCATAATCCCACTTTGTTTACAGCCACCTCTAGGGGAAGCCAACCATTTGCAACCAGTGGCAAACCTGTATTATCTGCTGAAATGAGTTAAGAAAATTTTAATGAACATTGGTACTGTTAAGAACTAAGCCTGGGCTAGCAGATTAGCTCCGATGATTAGAGAGTGGTGTTATAACACCAAGGTCAAGGGTTTGGATCCCCATACTGGCCAGCTGCCAAACAAACAAAAAAACCAGACCATGTCTGTACATCCTTTGTGGTTCAATGGGGCTTAAAACGAGAGGTCAAAAATAAGGGAAATTCCAGTCATGGTATTTACTCCTGTGAGGCCATCGAGACCTCATTTTGCCTCCTCTTTGGTTTCATCAATAACTTTAATCATTCATTTACTCATTTATCTCAATCGTCAAATATTTACTGAGCACCTACATTGGGCTCATAAAGCACTGGGCTAGATGCTGGTGATGCAGAGAAAAGGCCATGGGTTCTTAGCTCTCATAAGTTTACCACTCCCTCGGAGATGAGCAAGGTAAAAACATTCACAATTCTGTGTGCAGTTAAGAGGTGGAGGGAAAGGGCCGGCCCGGTGGCGCACTGGATAGTGCGCCGCTTGGGAAGCACAGCGGCGCTCCCGTCCAAGGGTTCGGATCCCACATGCGGACCGGTTCCCGCTCACTGGTTGAGCGAGGCATGGGAGCAACACCGAGGGTTGCGATCCCGTTGC